TTAAACTATATTAATAAAATCAAAGTATATAAATTTAAACTCAAAATTAAATTTACTATTTTTTCTGTTAATTTTAAGTTAATTCAGTAGTTAGTTAACCCTAATTCAGTACTGCCAAGACTATCATTCAAAGTCATAGAACCATGCACATTTATATAATTTTTGGTATCAAAATTGAATTAACTCGCTTGCAAAATAGTTTTTGTGAAATTGAGTTTTACAATAGGTTTGTGTAAAATGGTATCAAATTTGAATTAAATCGCTTGCATAATTTGTCGCAAGTCCACAATCGGTTGCTCCACCACTGTGTTTCTCTTCTTCTAAAGCCAATCGCTTGCATTATAAGTGGGTTTTGTATCGTTTCTGTTAGATGTTTTACTTTGTTACTTCATCGTTTATATCCGCGTTTCCTTCATTTTTACTATACTTTATGCTTTGATATTGTGCTTCTGTTGCGTTCATGCCTTAATAAATTATTTTGGACGAAAGAAGAATCAAATAGGATGAAACATGAAAAAGGTAAAAAAAAAAAACGTGAAGTCTCGAGTACAAAAATCAGAGGCCAGTTACGTGTGCCCGTAACGCATCTTACTGCCCGTAACAGGCTCCAGACTGAAGCCCCCTTGTGCACGCGCCTGGTACAATTATCTGTAGCCTGTTACGGATACCCGTAATGTGTGTTACGACCCGTAATAGTAAGGCGAATTTTCAATTATTTTCTTTCCTTTTTTGGTTTGATTAGTCGCAATTTTTGTACTTTTGTGCATTTTAATTTGGGTTGATTCTGGCTTTAATGGACATTGATATGAGATATTTCTTGATGTAATGGCTATTGATAACATAAGTTTATTCAACTATTAGAATTTTAATATAAAAGTTCATAGGTAGTCTTGAGTTTTGATCTAGCTTATTATTCTAGTTTTATTTTAACGCTTTGTAATTGAAAGTCTCCATTGGAGCACTAGATCAAGCTATTTTATTTATTAAGGATTTATTTATCATTGCTTTACAATTATTTATCGTTTATTATGTTTTTTGAAATGAATATTGTGTCTGTTGTTTTATTCCTCACCATGAGTAAGTATGTCATTAGGGAGTAGGGATCATGAATCTTGTTTATCGATTATCCGTGTAAAATAGCATAAGTCGATTACGAGAATTTCACTATTTCTATTTTAAAATATGAGTTTCAATTCAAACCTCGTTCCGAAAGTAGGAGAGTTCTAAGACATTAACCGTAATAACAAAGGATATGTGTGAATGCCCGATCACAAGTTTTCAAACAATTAAGTTCAATAACGCGAAGGTGCTCGAATGAAATTGACACTACTACAAAACGTGTAAACAACAACGTCATGAACACCACGTTTCTTCCATACATCGTGGTGACACCTTTAAACTAAGGCGCTACCATATTATTCTTGTTTTTTGATTAAAAATTAATTATATATAACAACGATTTTGGAGCCATATATGGTGATACCATCAAGTCTTCATGGGTTCGAACCTCAGCTACCTCATATACATTATTTCTTTAAAATTAAGGCGCGCCTTTTCATTTTGATTTATTTTTTTAATAATAAAATTAAAGGGTTATGACAACGGTTGGTTTGTTTCACGTTGTGATATATTTATAATAAATAAATACTTATCAATACGGTTGGTAGATAACTGTTGTGAAAAAATTTACCCGTATACAAGCGAGTTAACTCTCACTTATTCATAGTAATGTCGTTTCCTTCACAGTGAAACCCTATCACCCATCTTTTTCTCTCCCTCTTTGTCATTAGCCGTGAATCATGTACTTCATATGTTAAGGTATATTTCTTTTTCCATCTTCGTTATTATCTCATTTGTTGTATGTTATTTTTGTTGATTGTTCTAATCTTTTCTGATTCGTCTTCACTACTTTGTCTATGGAACATATTATTTGTGTAGCTATGGAAAAAGTACAAGAAGCCTGAAGCTATGATAGAAACTTTATCTACAACTACACCCTACTTAACAACAGTATGACCCGCGTGATGGCACCCCTTTTCCAATCGCTGTTAAATGTGTTTTCCGTAATAGTGTGAGAAATGTTCCATTCTTAATAGTTGTGTAATAGTAACAATCTTTGACGAATGATTATGCGCGAGCAAAAGCCGACAAGCGACTTGTTCGTCAAAGATGGGACAATACGCTTGTGAAAGCAAGTATTATCCATTATAGTCTATTTTTCTACAATTTGTGTCAAAATTTTCGTAATAGAAGTGCTCAAGTTATACGGATAATTCGGGAATAGGAGTCATGACCCAAAAAGTCCTTTTTGCTTTATATATTTTAAGTGCTTTTTATTTAAGAAGTTTTTCCACTTAAGTGTTTTTTCACTTAAGTTGCTTCTAAAACACTAAATTTCAATTTCTCTAAATATACAACAATAGAACAGAGTCCAAGACTCAATCATTGATCTTTGTGGTTCGATAATCATTTACTACTTCGCACAGTCGTACACTTGTGGCGTGTCATGCACCATATATTAGACACAAAAATATATTATGACGAAGTGGGTATTCATTGCGTGAAACTAGAGATGACCATTGGACACATCTCTGATAAGTATTTGTAAAATTACTCACAACGTATAAAATATAAATCCGCAACATGGATACGGGTATAAAAACACAGACAATTATCCATTAAAATGAGTGGATATAGTTGCGGGTACGAGTACCATAATGGCCACTCAACTCTATATCCACATAATATATATTTTAATTTTATTATTATATATTTATACATTTTATTAAATAAATCACTATTAAATTTGTAGGTATATTTATAATGGTTTTTATAAATTTAAAAAAAAAACATTACAAATGTTTTAAAATTTTGAATAATTAAAAATTAAATTATGATAAAATGAACCTTGCAATTAACTAGTAGTTATGTATGACAATTAACTTAATCAAATCTAGCATAATATAAAACTTAATAATAATTCGTTTAATTTAGTACATGGGCAAAAGAAGTTGAACTTAGACTAATAAATAAATTCATTAATTAAATAAAGTAAAACATAAGTATTTATGTTTAAATTTGTATATTTAAATGGAAGTCATCCATATTTGAATTGAATTTTCTAAAACTCATGAAGTATTTGTCCCGTTGTGTTCTTTGGTGGACTTATCAACAACATTTTCATAGACTTTTAATGGCTTTGCTTCTTTTGATAGTACAACAGTTGAACTCGTGCTTGTACCTGACTTAAGGTTCATACTATAATGCACCTAAGACAATAAAACTAGTCAAGGATTCTTACTATCATACGATTAATTGTTTGACGAAAAATTACGCACGTACGGTTAAAGAGATTATCATATTGTTATTACAAGTGGGTACGCAATAACATCTCTATAACTAAAAAGGATCGCGTGCCCGCTATATATATTCTCTCCTATGCATTACCATTTAACAAACAAATTTAAGTAATACATATCAATATTCTAGACACAGTTTCTATCACATTATTTTCTTCTAATTGTTTCTTTATCATGTCACTAGAAACCATTAACGGGAAAGAAAATCACCTTCCACATGGAGATGACCATGAAGAAGATGCCATGGTTTTTGCTTTGAACTTAATTAATTTGGTCGTGCTTCCTCTAACTGTGCGATCTGCAGTTGAGCTTGGTATCTTTGACATCCTAGCCAAAGCTGGGAAAGATGCCAAACTCTCTGCAGATGACATAGCTGTTAAGATTGGATCGAAGAACAAAGAAGCACCTGCAATGTTGGATCGTCTTATGAAGTTATTGGCTAGTCACTCCATGCTATATTGCTCGCTATCCAAAGAGAGACAAGGACTTGGGTCTCCTCAGAGGCTCTATAGCCTTGCTCCTGCTTCTAAGTATTTGGTGACAGATCTTGATGGTGTGTCGTTGGGACAAGTATTAAACTTAACTTTGGACAAAGTTTACTTGGGAAGCTGGTTAGTTTTATTTTTTTTTTATTGGCATTAAATTAGTTTAATAAAATTCACTATGATAATTTATTTTAATTGACTGAATAAAGGACTGAAATGAAAGGAGCAATTTTGGAGGGAGGTATACCATTCAATAGGGTTTATGGCATGCAATCATTTGAATATCCAACTGCAGATCCAAGGTTTAATGATATTTTCAACAATTCTATGGTGAATTGTACAACTATAATCATGAAGAGGATTCTTGAGATCTATGATGGTTTTGAGCACATCAATAAGCTTGTGGATGTTGGTGGTGGTCTTGGGATCAATCTCAAGCTAATTACTTCTAAATATTCTCATATTCAAGGTGTTAATTTTGATTTGCCACATGTTCTAGAACATGCACCTACCTATGAAGGTAAATTTTAATTACTTAGAAAAATATAAGGTTTTTTTTACTATGTGTGTCTAATGTTGAGTTCAAACTCAGGCCATTTGATTATGCTGAAACAAATCTCTTATCATCTTATTTGAATATTTGCATTGAAAATTATTTATTTTAATGTTGCAGGTCTAACACATGTGGGAGGAGATATGTTTGAAAGTGTACCTAATGGAGATGCAATTTTTTTGAAGGTGAATTCAACCTTATACATCATTAATCTATGCGATTATTTTACTATATTTACTAACTTAGCTTAATTTTTTGTATCAATAGTGGATACTTCACGATTGGAGTGATGAACATTGCTTGAAGTTATTGAAGAATTGTCATAAAGCTATTCCTGATAATGGAAAAGTGATTGTTGTGGAGTTAATTGCACCTGTTCTTCCTGAGAGTACAACAATAGCTAAGATGGGTTTTCATGCTGACGTCTTAATGATGACTCAATTTTCAGGAGGGAAAGAGAGAACCAAAGATGAGTTTAATGAATTAGCATTAGGATCTGGATTCCGTGGCATCAAATTTGCTTGCTATTTCTCTAGCTTTTGGGTTATGGAGTTCCTGAAGTAGTTACGATCAAGTTTGGAAACAAAATTACATGTTGTTTTATTATCTATTAATTGTTGTTGCATTATAAATTTTATGTTTCATACTGTGATACGGTGGGAGAACTGACTTGAAGGTTTTGCATTTGATCGTAAAATTGCGGTTAGCAAGAGTCGTCATCGACTTTTCTTTTATCCAAAAGGAAAGGTGAGAAAACACAGGAAAGACCTTTGAGATTATTTCTTGAGTTCGGGGGTAAATTATGAAAAGGAAAGGTGTTAGCACTCTTTTCATCCATGATTTTCCATGAGCTCTTAGTTACTTGCTAGATGACTTGCTTTTTGTTTGAAATTGTGTTTTGTGTGGTTTTTAAAAGTATTTTGTAAAGAGGCTATTGTTTAGGAAATCTAGTGGCATAATCCCAAGGGTGCTTGTGTGGTTTTTGAAAGTATTTTATAAATAGGCCATTGTTTAGGCAGTCTTTGTAATGATTCTTGTTTGTAAGAATGTATACAAAGATGTTTGATCTATTGAAAATGTTTTCAATTTTGTAAGATGTTTGAAAGTGTAGGTGATTGTTTTGAAAGTAACAAGGATGTTTATTTTGAAATGAAGCAAGTAACTAGGAGCATTCTACCTACTCAAAAGTCTTTCTTGTTCATTTTCTTTTTCTTTGACATTGTTGTCTTACCATTGATTTGGTAAGCAACCCTATCTTTGGATGTAAACGGGACGGACGTGGGTCATCGTATAACCATGATTAACAATGTTGCAAGATATCTTAGCATTCTCTTTTAGGGACTAAGATCATTTGAAAGGCAACTTAGATAGCGTCATCGAGGGACTATGATCTTGTATTTGCTTGTTTTTGCTAAGATAGCTTACATGTGTAATATGATCATATTGTATAAGGAAATCAAGGGACATAACCCTAGGGGTGCTTGTGTGCAAATGTATTGTTTTCATGCTTGTTTTTGTCTTGAATTAGGGTTTTCTAAGTATTGGTTTTAGTCTTTCCATACAAACCCTAATTACTAACATGTTATATATAAAGCGATAAATTGCAGAATTTAAAGTTACTAAGCTATTACAACATTTGTGGGGAGGGGGTATACAATTTGTAAATGGGGATTGCAAGAATGTAAACCTAGTTAATCTATTACAACCATATTGAATGGGTATCAATTGCACAAAGATTTGAATAAATACAAAGTATAAAGTGAATAAATGTACAAAATTGCAAAATGTGAAGTAAATGGATATATGTTTGATTTTTTAGGAAAAAGGGATTTTGTCTTAATATAATTAATTAAAAGAAATAATTAATGAAAAGTAAACCCTAATTTGCTAAGAAAAGATTTTTAAGTAAAATCCTAAATCAATTAATTAATCAAAAGAAAATAAGTTTAAGAAAAATATTTTTTAGTATTTTTATGTCTTGAAAATATTTATAGTATTATAAAGTATTTTTGGTCTTTTTTATATTAAAATAGTATATTTTAATTGGTGTAAAAGAAAATAAATACTGACCTATTTTTAATTTAATTTACAAGACTAGTCCATAAAAAATAAATAATATGTAGTTAAATAAAATATTTTTGCTTAGAGTAAAATGGAGATTCTCGAGCATCGGTAGTGGATGGTGGAAAGAGTGAGTGTTGATAATAGAAGAGTTAGAAATGAATTTTTGGCTCGGGTGGTTGAGTTTATTGAGTTTTCTTGTGCACAAGAAAATTACAAAAAAGTGGGAAAATTAAGATGTTCATGTAAAAAATGCAAGTGTGAGAAGTATCATTTAGTTGGGGATGTCATGGGCCCCCATAATATGAAAGGATTTATGGATGATTATTTTTATTGGACTAACCATAGTGAACAAAGACCTCCTTTACCACCAAAAGTTTTAGACAACTCATACTATGAAAGTATTGAGGCTCGACATTACTTTAATGACTATGAGAAGATGATAATGGATGTTATTGGGCCATCTATTAGCACATATCTAGAGCAACAAATATTTCTCTATGAAGAACATATGATAGAAGATACTAACCCGAAAACCAATTTTTTTCGAGATGTTGTCAACTGCAAAAGCTCCTTTGTATAATGGAAGCATTAACTATCAAGTCAAACTACAATATCTCTGAGCCTTGCTTTAATAGATGAGTTGATTTCATTAGGAAGCGTAGCCAAATGACAATAGAATGCGAAAAAACTTATGTCATGCAGGTTATGGTTATGTGTCGATGGGTTTGCATCATTCGATAAAACAGGCAAGAGATATTCATGTTGGCCTGTAATTGTAACACCTTACAATCATCCACCTTAGATGTGCATGAGATGAGAGGTCTTATTCATAACCATTATAATTCCCGGACCTTCAAATCCCAAATATAAGATTGATGTATACTTGCAGCCACTCATAGACGACCTTAAAGTTTTGTGAAATGACTGGATTATGACTTATGATGTTTCATTACTACAAAATGTTGTCATTAAAGCTTATTTAATGTGGACAATAAATGACTTTCCAGCATATGGGATGTTGTCTTGATGGATGACAATAGGAAAACTAGCTTGTCCCATTTGCATGGACAAAAGCATTCACCCTAGATAAAGGGCATAAGACATCATTTTTTGATTGTCACCGTCAATTTTTGCATACTGGTCATTGTTATTGACGAAATAAGAATGATTTTAGAAAGTGACATGTTGAGCTATCATTGTCCCCAAAGATATTTATGTGGCTTAAACATGATGGAAACAACATTAAAAAGAAGTTTTTTTGTAGTAGGGGATCTATAGCACTAAAAAATGCTTTGTACAAAGTGTGCAGTTGTAAGGATGAGGGTAGTTGGATTGGACCAAAAAATTTAGAAGAATGGAAAGTTGAATGGGATAAGGTGAAACTGAAGGAGATTTCTATGATTAATAGGAAAAATAGGAAATCTCAAGAAGGACATAATGTGCATAGTGGTGGGTCTATTTCTGCAAGAGAACACGCCAAGAGAATGGTCGGTAACTATATGTATTTTCTTAATTTTAGAGATTTCACAAGTTTAATATTCTAATAGTTTAGTATTTTCTTTTTTTAGAGAATGAAAATGAATAGGGAACCTTCATGTTATGAGCTTTACGAGCGGCTTCATAAGCCAAAGGGAAAACCGGGTGAATGGTTCAATGAAGAAGAAGCAAAGATTGTTGTAAGTATAATGTTTTAGCTGGAAAATTAAACTCTATTAAAAATCATGAATGACTTCTGATCCACAACCTTTATCTATAATTTGACAATGTTTTGAGGAGTGAACCACGGTTGGTTATGTCAACTACGTGTGAGGAGTGAACCGACTGTGGCAGAATAAATATTAGCAACTGTTAAAATATTAAACTAGATTAGATTAGATTAAATTAAATTTAATATTTAATATAATCCAAGTTGTGTTAGCCCAAGCCCAATTAGGGTTGTATATAAATAGTCATAGTGTGTATCATTATTTTTACACTTGAATAATATAAATCCTTATTTCCTTTATTATTCTCTCTTTCTCTCCTCACTAAAAGTGCCTCACGCACTAACAAATTGGTATCCAGAGCTTCCGGTTATTGTTCTTGATCAAGTTTTCAAGAATTTCACGTCAGAGATCATTTTTCTAGGGCAAGTAAATCAACCGCTGCGAAGATGGCTAGTGATAAGGGCATTCCAAATTCTCTTCCAATGCTTGACGATAAAAATTGGATCCAATGGAAAAAACAGATGTAATCCTTATTTGTCTTCCATGAAACCCTAGAAGTGGTCACCGGCGACGTTCTGGAATTTGCTACAAATGCAACCGACGAATAGAAAAAGGCCCACAACAAAGTCAAGAAAAAAGATTGCAAGGTTGCTTATTGCATTCAAACGGCTGTCAATGCTGCTAACTTCGACAAAATCTCTCATGCTAAAACAACGAAGGAGGCATGGGATATTCTGGTAAAATATTTCGTTGGAGGCGCATGAGATGAGGATTGTCGAAAGGAAAGGAGTTCAGAACTCGATACAGACACTGCAAGCTCAATCATGGAAAAAAGATGGTGGTTCCAACAAATTCAAAGGCAAGTTCGACAAGACTCATGGAAAGAAGTCTTGGTCGAATTCCCATAAGAATAAGGTCGAAGATAAATCTTTTGAATCCTCGAAAAGGGGAGGAGGAAACTATCAAAAGGACAAAGTGGATAAGAAAGGTATGCAATGTTATAACTGTGAAAAGTGGGGACACTTGGCCAAGAATTGTTGGTACATAAAATACAAGGGATCGAAAGGCAAGGACGAAGGAGCAAACCTTGCACGCCACGATTCATATGATTCTGAAGGTGGTACGATGGTTATGGATGCAGTTGCAGATAACCATGTTGAATCTAATATCTGGTTTCTCGACTCAGGTTGCTTGAACCACGTGATTGATCGAAAGGAGTGGTTGGCAGATTTTGACGAGTCGAAGAAGAGTAAGGTAAAACTTGCTGATAGTAGTTCGTTGCAAGCAGAAGGTACTGGCAACATAGTCTTTCAAATGAGTAATGGAGGGAAAGCTATGATCAAAGATGTGCTCTATGTACCTGGAATGAAATGCAACTTGTTAAGTGTTGGACAACTAGTTGAAAAAGGTTTCTGAATTGTCATGAAAGATGGAGTTTTGAAATTGTTCGACACTATGAACAATTTGGTTTTACAATCTCCATTGTCGAAGAACAGGATATTTAAGACTATGATCAGTTTGACAGAAGTTCAATATTTGAAAACTGTTGTCGACCACAAGGATAGTTGGTTGTGGCATTTGAGGTTTGGACATTTGAATTTTTGATCACTTAATCAACTGATTACTCAAGATATGGTTACTGGTATTCCAAGTCTTGAGATGCCTGAAAAACATTGTGAAGGTTGTTTAGTGGGAAAGCAATCCAGAAATTCTTTCGTTTCGACCATGTCATTGAGATCATCCTGCATTCTCGAAGTGGTGCATTCAGATGTATGTGGTCCATTTGAAGAACATAAAATTAGTGGAAACAGATATTTTGTTTCCTTTGTCAATGAGTTTATTCGAAAGCTGTGGATCTATGTGATCAAAAGAAAGGATAAAGTATTTAAAATCTTTAAGAGATTCAAGATACTTGTCGAAAACCTGAGTGAGAAGAAGATCAAAGTTCTACGAACAGATGGAGGTAGCGAATACACATCCAATATGTTTGAAGATTTCTATGCAGAAAGTGGTGTTGATCACGAGGTAACTTCTCCTTACACACCTCAACATAATGGAATTGTT